GGGGAGTCTCACCTTGCGGAGCATGGCCTCGGACTTCTGGAGGTCAAAGCTCCGAGCTATGGGAAGACGGAAGGCCGATGTGAGGGCAAAGAGACTGTATTATAGCCGCCATGCCCAACTCTTGGGCTGTGAGAGCACTGGGCCATGGGGGCAGGGGGTGAGGGAGCAGGGGGCCCTGGGGGGGTCTCCCTCTTCTGCACACCCCCCTCATGGACCTGGACAAGTACATCAAGGTGCTGTGGCCAGATCCAAGGACCGTGGGCCACCCGGGAGCCACTGGCATCTGTCCCTCTCCCCTTGCGCCCCTGCTGACAGCCTCCTCCTCTCTCCCCACCTCGGAGCCAGCGCAGGAGGAAGTAGTCGTCAGGGTTGGGAAGGGCCGGCAGCACATCCTGGACGTTTTCTCGGAACTGGGAAGAGAGATGCCGAGCCTGAGCCTCCAGACTCAGGGACGATCTTCATCCTCCCTCCGCTCTTCCCACCCAGGTCTGTCCGTGCCGATGGAAAGGTGGGTGAGGGAATGGATGGAAAGCATGACGGATGGTGGGATGGATAGACGGGATGTGCACGTGGTGTAAGACAGGAAGGAGAGATGAGTGGGTGGACGGATGAGTACGTGGGGGTGATGGAGAGGTAGGTGAGTGAAAGGAGGGGAGACAGAGGGTGGGTGGATACGGGAAGGGGTAGCTAGTTGGGAGGGTGGCTAGGGGGATCGGAGTCAGGATGTATCCTTAGTTCTTTCCCTGGCTATCCCAGCAAGGTTTCTGCGTGTTTCCAACCCATTTCCTACAAACACAGCGTCTGGGATGGTTACCATGGAGATGATAACATACCCAGCCCTGCCTCTCTGGCTCATACAGACAGATCAGCCTCCCTGCAAGGTTGGGTGGGAGGGAGATCGGAGTGACAGGCAGACCATGAGCACCCTTTAGCTGACACCTGTAGGGGCCTAGGAGGGAGGGAGAAGAGGGCTTAGCTACTAGACACAGCTCTCTCAGCCTGGGTCGCCAGGTGAGCCGAAAGCAGGCTGCATCCTGAGTGGGCATCACCCCCACTATTGCCTGGAAACTCTGTCCCGGACAGGGCTGATGTAACCAGGCACTGTGGGATGTAACCCAGGAGCAGGTGACAACAAAGAAACTGTCAGGGGATGCTTTAAGGTGGCAGATTAGACTAGGACCTGCTGATCCGACAGAATGGGGCAGGGCTCGGCCGCCTGCCTGCCCCTCATCCCTGTCCCCAGGGCCTCTGGGGCAGGGCCTCTCACCTTGGCCAGGGTCTCCGCCTGCTTGGGGCTCAGGTCTCCGACGCGGCCGCTCATGGTACCAGGTGAGGCTCAGAGGGTGAGGCAGGTGGAGGTCAGGTCGAGTCTCCCAGCCCTGACTCAGTTGGGGCCTTTTGCCCGACTCCTGGGTGTGGCTGCAAGCACCTCCCCCTTGGCCAACTGTTTGGATTGCACGTTACATAATTGGGATTAAGTGAGGTCCCGTGTTTGGCTCCGGGACAGGTTTGGGGGCATGTGGGCGTCGGCGGGAGTGTCAGAGGACCCCTGCCAGGAGGAGGCAGCCGGGAGGGCCTGGGGCTCGCCCACCATGGCCTGGGTGCCCAGAAGAAGCACCTGTAGGACCCTCATCCAACCTCCCAGGCCTCTGGAGGTGGCTGGTTTGGAGAAGGGGGACCCTAATGGCATTCTTTATCTCTGTATCTCAGTTTCCCCATCTCATCAGTGAAGTGACTCCATACCTGGGCTTCTCCAAACCAACCCCCTGAACCAGCCCTAACAGTTAATTGATGTGTGTGTGTGTGTGTGTGTGTGTGTGTGTAGGAGGCCCCAGAAGGGTGCTGTGAAGTAAAATAGGAGGACTTGGGCTTGGAATCATCATGACGGCCTCCACACGGCCGGCCACATCGCCCTGACCTTGAGGGCTTCTGCATGGACTGGAACCGCCTCTCAGCTAGTGTGCTGACAGCTAGGCCGGCTCCAGCCACTTTGCCCTCCCTTCAGGCTTTCCCGGGGCCTCTTGGGACCCTTCTTGGGCTCTGGGATCCTGGGTAGCATTGGGCCAGGAAGAGAAGGAGGGTCTCAGGCCATTTCATGGGTCTAGGGTGCTGCCCAGAGTTAGATAACTGCACTGCCCGCCCCGCCCCACTTCACATTCCAGCTGGGCTCTGCAGACCCGCTTCCTGCCAGGCTGGCAGCGGGGCGGGCAAGGATCAGGTTCCCCCACCCTCTCTCAGGAGCCCTAATCCGGCTCCTTTCCCACCAGTCTCCGTTCTCACCCTAATTCCTCTAAAGGAGCAGTTCTCAACCTGTGGGTCTTGACCCCTTTGGGGGCTGAAAGACCCTTTCACAGGGGTTGCCCAATTCCTAGCAGCAGTAAAATGACAGTGATGAAGGAGCAACGAAAATAATTTTATGGTTGGGGGGTCACCACCACATGAGGAACTATCTTAAAGGGTGGCGGCATTAGGAAGGCTGAGAACCACTGCCCTAATGGGAGCCCGCCCAGAGCGGGGGAACTGGGGCCCAGCCAGCAGCTGTAGGCCTGGCCTCCAGGCACACTGCTCCGTTCTTGCCCAGTCTCAGACCACAGAGACACTCTGAGCCCCTATTGCGACGTCGGAGATGCTCAGCTGCCCCTGGCTCTCGCCACGTGGCTGCCAGGGCCTCTCCTGAGGTTGCGCGGTGTGACCGAGGAACTGCGTGTCAGCTGACAGCCCCATGTGACCCGTCAGGGTCGGGCGCTTGTGGCTAGCAGAAAGGTTGGCTGCTGAATCCACAACGTTGCGACTCGCGGGAAGGCCTGGCACCTGGCGCCTGTAAAGATGACCGTCCAGAACTCTCCATGGGGCAGCTCTGCTCTGTCCCAGGGGCTGGACACTGCCAACAAGGGCAACCAGCACGACGACGCGTGGCTCCTTACTCAAGAGTGCGGGTCTGCCACACTTCCAAGTCAAACTCACCGCCACGGAGGCCACGCCGACTCCTAGTGACCCTGGAGGGCAGGGCAGACTGCCCGGGGAGGTTAGAGACTGTCCCGCTTTATGGGAATAGGAAGCCCTCTCTTTCTCCTTCGGGGCTGCTAGTGGTTTCAAACGTCCCACCCTGCGGTTAGCAGGGCAATGCTTAACCATTACACCTCCAGGGCTCCCTGCCTTACCTACTGAGGGCTCATTATGTGCCAGGCCCTGCCTAGAGCACGCATTTCACAAATGCGGCGACTGGGGCACTGGGAAGTGAGGCTATACCCGTGTCAATCATCCCTCTGCCGTGGTACTGTCGGCTGGCCAGCACGCCATCCCTGCTCCAGGCACCTCCCTGCAGATTAGGCCTAGACCCAGGTCATTCTAATGCGATGGGGTTGCCCTGGAGAAAGCGGGATGCTGACCAGTGGAGAGGAGAGTGGAGAGGAGGGCATCCCAAGCCAGGGATGGAACAGGCAGAGGTTGGGGGACACTGTAAAGGAGAGTGTGGCCGGCAGGCCTGAGGGACGGAGCGAGGAGGGGTGAGGGACACTGGAGCCACAGAACTGAGAGCAAGGCTCAGCCCCTCACCCCCTCACTGTGTGACTGTGCAAGCTAGCAGCTTGGTCTCTGAGCCTCGATCTCCCCCACTATAAAATAGCACCCGCTAAATCCACCACTATTGGAGACTCGGCCAGAATCTTTCATACTTTTGTTCCCCTGGACTCTCGCTCGGATGTGTGCTATGCGGCAGGCCCTGTGCTGAGTGTAAGGAGATGGCAGGTCCCTGCCCCCCCTGGGGCTCAGTCACCCCTTTCTTGAGCCGGTTCTCCCGGCTGGCAGCTGGACATATATTGTGAGGTCATGCTGAAGCAGATGCGGGTGTCCTCGGTGTGCAGATGAAGAAATGGAATGTCAGAGAGGGTAAGACACTTTTCTGGGGTCACACAGCCCATAGATGGAAAGGTAGGCTTGAACCCAAGGCTGACTGGGGGGAACTGACAATAGAGCTGTAGCCCTGCCCTGCCTCCCCTCCTGAGGATTCCTGGGTTCAGAGGCCTCAGGGCAGGTTGAGGCCAGAAGGGCTTTCCCTCCCTTCCACACAGGCCCTGGGGGAGGAGAACTATCGCCTCCCCAAGTCCGCTTTGGAAGTTGGGTTTCGTTCTTCAGTTTGCCCAGCTCTCCGGGGACCATAGTGACAGCCACGACTTCAGCAAACAATGGCTGCGAGCTGCCCACCCCACCTCTTAGCCCCCTCCTTCCATGTGGTTGCTAGGAAATATGAAAGAGTACCCCTCCAGCGGGGCCCTAACGCCCTGGGCACATTCCTACCCTCCTTCCCCGTGACCGACTGCGCCAGAACCCGTTGTACCAGTAGAGGGGAACCTGGGGATGTGGACTCTCAACTCGATGCCCTCGGTCTTGGTGCCAGCACATCACACCATTTTGCTCACAGTTGCTTTGCAGTCATTTTTGAAATCAGGAAGCGCGTGAGCCCTCCAACTTCATTCTGCCTTTCCCAAGATTGGTTTGGCAATTCCGAGCCCCCACACATTGTGAGACCAGCTTGCTCATTTCATTTCATCCCCCCCTCCCCACTCCAGGGGGGCGTGTTGGACTTTTGATGGAGCTCACACTGAGTTTGGAGATCAGTTTAGGTAGCGTTGCCACCTGGGCAATATTGTCTTCCAGTCGAACATTTGGCGCCTTCCATGTATTGCGCCCACCACAGCTGCGTCAATTTCAACTCACGGTGTCCCTGTAGGACAGAATAGAGCTGCCACACAGGGTTTCCCAGCTGTCACCTTCGTGGAGGTGGACCACCACTTCTTCCTCCTGCGGAGTGGCTGGTGAATTTGGACTGCCAGTCCACTGAGCACTTAGCCACTGTGCCAGGAGGGCTTGCTTCCATGTATTGAGGTCTTGTTTCATTTTCCCCAGCAATGCTTTGTACATCCATGAGGTAGTTACATAACCTGGTGTCAATTTGGGGCTTGAGAGGATTAAGAGTGGAGGGGTGGAGTCTAGTCTGTCAATCGGGCCAATGTGGCCTCTGTGGGGGCTTGGCCTTCTGAGAATTCTGGGAACTCCTGGATTTTCTCCTTGGAGGTGGGAGGGACTCTCTCTCTGCTAACTCCCTTGGAGACACCCTACTGACAAGACACCTGGTGCTACGCCCTGGGAGCTGGAGAAGCCACATGGACCTACCTGCT